GCTGGGCGGGTTTTCTCCGAGTACTTCGGTTTCCCCTGCCAATCTTCATTCCACCAAATTCCTCATCATCATAATCACCCGGGGCAGGCTACAATAGGCCAATCAGTGGCCGCTGTGCCGAGTGGACCCAGTTGGACTCCACCGCCCACTAAGCGAATTTTTTTTAATTTAGTATGAAGCGTACTCTCGTGTAGCATATGTCGCTATATAGTCCGTTACAAGTTCACCGACGTTTCGGAGGAATATACTGTCTCCATAATGCTGTTCTTGCCGCTTGATTCTTACTGACTTCTGTCTTGGTCCACTCCCTGACGTTGAAGATTGCCGCAAGATGTTCCTCCGATACATCTGCGAGCTTCTATCGGAATATGGCGCCATATTCCCAAAGTTAATATTCATCGTTTTTATCATTCAATGAAATATTTTGCACTACCATTAATTATTTATTTTTGTGGGATAGTAAAAAACGTGTGGGAATCGCTCTCAAAGCGATGACTATGAATGATATGACGCCGTGTGTTCTCGTACTTTACTGACGTTTCAGAGAAAAGCACTGCCTCCATCTTCAGGGTGGGAGAGTAAGCCAGGCAATGATCAGGTCTGCTTCCACTTTGCTTCTTCGTTCCTCGGCTTGTTATGCTACCAAACTACACCGCGTCACTTTCTAGATAACAACATTGTTTTCAGTGAAGAATATTTTTATTCTGATACATTCGAACACACGAATTTTTTTCTAACATTCAAAATATTCAGACTCTTGTGTCTGATGCTACTACATGTCTGCTGAGGAATTCTAGCACGTCAAACTTCTGGGGAAGGCCTATCGACATGTCAACCCATCTACTGTGTGTTCTACAGTTGAAGAGGTCACCCAGGAATCGATGCTAGTGGGCGGGAACGCACTTGGCGCCAACACCAAAGCAGCTGCATATTCCTGTTCGAAGGTGAGACAAAGTCCACGTTTTTCTGTCGCATCAGCACTGAATGCTTTCTAAACAGTGCAAAAATGTTTTAAAGTTCAAACATATTTATTGTGGGTCTACGTTACATAGCATCTGTTTCATTTACAGCAAAGCATGTCTTCTTAAACTGTGTTAAGAACATTATTTTCAAATAATGTAATAAATGAAAAGTCTGAAGAAATTTCCTCGTGGTTGGAGAATTTTTTGAAGTGTACCTCCATAATTCAGACTTTTTTCTCCCGCCACTGTTTCAATATAAGCTTGCTTATCAATATTGTAACAGAATTGAGCAACACATTGCCAGGCAACGAATCAGTAAACCTTTCCAAATATGCAACAATACAGGGGAAAGTGTTTTCTATGCGGTCTGCGCCAAGCAACAGTAGAATAACGGGGTTATGCGATCTGTTTATAAGCGACAGCTGAGTAAACACATTTCCGCTTGTCGAACCGTGTTATGAAAGCGGTGACGTCAACAATAGAACTGTTTTTTCTATGCGGTCCGTGCCGCGTCTGTAGTCACACCTTAAATCGTAACAATATTAAATTGCATTCAGTTTTTTAAAGTCTGTGGTACTTATATTTTCAAGACCGTGGAGATTTTAAGTTGATATGCAATGAAGAAAATTCCTCTCAACTACCCAACGAATGTTCATATCCACCACTTTCTTTGTTGTTGGATATCTCTGGAATCAGATTTCTTAGAGCGTGGAGTAAAGTATATCTATGGTACGTATATTATGGGTTCGATCCCGGGGCTGGTCAAGTGGGATTTGTGGTGGACAAAGTGGCGCTGGGGCAGGTTTTCTCCGAGTACTTCGGTTTCCCCTGCTAACCTTGATTCCACCAATTGCTCCACAATCACCCTCACCTATCATCTGGGGCTGGTACAATAGGCCAGAAGTGGCCGAAGTACAAGGGACTTAGTCCCACCCCACTAGCAATAAAAGAAAAGTAATAGGTATACTATCAGAGGCAGAATAAAGCATGGGTAAAGTAGGCCACAGCCTAGGGACCCTCGCGAAGTGGGCAAGCAACATGTATAGTATGAGACGGTACACGTACCCTTCAGACTTCCAGGTAGACAAAAGAAAAAATTGTTTTCAATATCTTCATTGATTCCAACAAATAATACAGCATCTAACACTCAGCTTCCCCCACACCAAATTTTTAGAGCCCTTGGGCTCCACACTGATCACTGGCCTCGAGTCTTGTAAGCTCTCGATTCGCCTCTGCTTGGCACTACAATAGGCCTATAAGGCTAAAGTTTCTAAAATCCGGAGAAAGTAAATTCTGCAAATATAGGCCATATTGTAAAATCGTTTCGTAGATACCTGTATCAGAAAAAAGAGGCCGGGGCTTGAAGCTAACCACTCACCTCTACTTAGTGCCGTCGTCCAGAATGGTAGAGATGTACCTCCACTCCCCCCTCTGAATTCATGGCATAGTGCTTAACTGATAAAACACAGGGACAACTTCATGTTTCCTTCTCCGCTTTAGTGCTGCAGCGATGCTCCTCTCAGTAAGAGTCCTACTCAGTTGCTGGCTACATTCAGGAGCCCCTACAGCTGATAAGCTGCACTCCCCTCTGCAGTGCAATTCAATACTATAAGTTACACCTAGCCTGTTGAAGTCATGCATTATTGGCTTATATGGCTCACGTCCCAGCTGTTTTTCAAGAGGATAGTATAAATACAACTCTAAGCTTATACGAACTGAGGGGAAGGCCAGCAAGTAGAGCGAACAAAGCTACGAAGCTCTAAGCATCCTTCACAATATGACAGACAGAAGTACACTTATTCTTGTACTCACTGTAATATCAGACATTCGTTGCATACAGAAACGAACTGGGCAACCTAACCTCTTATATTTCACTCGAACAATGACTGAGGTTAGCTCTTTCTGACGGAACCAACAGCGTCTCCCTCCCCTTCACCTGAGGACGGAAGTAGTTTCCTAAACGCTGAGTTCTCTAAGGTTCTTTAGAATAACGGGAGATGGACAAAGCCCAGAACCCCAATATTCCAGAGTATCATACACCATCGTCAGAACCATTTAGAAAATGAACGAATTATATGTTTATGCTTATTTATGATTTATTTCGCGATGTTGTCAGTAGCTGAGCCTACATCGCTCCGAATGGTAGGACGATTATTGAATGACAAATTGAAAACATGAAGAAGGAAGCGGTCGTGACCCATTTAAAGGCAGGATTTTTATCCTGAATTTCCCTGGAAGGACTGAGGTAAGCCATGAAAAGCTTCAGTCAGGATAGTCTGTCTCTCGACGTAGTTTCTTCTCCTGAGTACAGGCCAAAATTGCCACCTCGTGAGTCAATTCTCTCGGGAGAGTCAATGAGTATTGTAGCGTGTAGAGCCGTTGCTATGCGGATATACCAGGGCCGTTTCTGAGCAAAGGTTCGTTAAACATGTTCGCGGGGCAACTGATACGCATGCAACAAAGGAACTGTGTTTTCGACATGGTCCGTGCTGAGATGTAAGCAAGAGACAAGGTTAGAGGTTCGTTCAATTCTGTATCGGAGTCTGTGAAGAAAAGAGTTAGTTACAATAGTGCTCAGTTGAAAGTCCGGCTATGAAGAGAAGACTTTATGTGTGAAAGACTTGAAAGGATTCTGAAGATGGTATATGCAGTACAGAACTATTAGGCTTATTTTCGACTCTATCCATCGTCTGGTGTATATTGTATAAGAGGAAAAACCACGTTTCGGAGACTGGATGTGTCTCCGTCCTCAGGTGGATGGGGCAGGACAGACCTACTCAGTTGGGCCCGTTAGAAAGAGCTAGTCTCATTCACTGGACAATCACTTTCTAACGAGCCCAAATGAGTAGGTCTATTCTGCCCCATCCACCTGAGGATGGAGACAGATCTAGTCTCCGAAACGTTGTTTAATTTAATTAATTTGCAGTGATATAAGCATGCTATGCAATGAATTGCCTAAATAAAACTTCTCAGAATTAAGACACTCATGACAGTTTTTCTGTCTAAGCCCAAGCGTCTGAAATTTCGCTTTATTAGGCTAACTTGGACGAGGTTTAGGAAAAGCTGATCGTATTTTCAACTGAGNGATGGTGGTAATAACCACGACAATGAAGTTGAAGCACATCAGGTAAATAAGGTCGCACATGTCATGAACGGGACTAAAACCCGTGACCACAGGAATTGAGACTGCGCATTGCGTACTAACATCACCCACGTGGTCTGGCACCGTTGACATAATCAGCTCCATCTTCGATTACAATACAGCAACGGCTTCTGACTGAATGATATATGTACGAAGATTAAGTGAGCAGAATAAAAGCAATCCTATTTGTAAGAATCCGACGCCCAGTACGCACTGAGAAGAGAGCGACGTTGCAGTGCACGTCAACCAGCGACGTCGCCGTCACCCTCCCCCTCCTTTCATAACGTGTGACAGGGCGGGGAAATTAAACTGCTCATTTCCACCAATCCCGCTTCTCTGGGTGGAGCCACTCGTGGGAAGGGGGCACTATTTTCTAAACGCGGATGCAAACCTGTTTTCTACATCCCACGTTTGTAAGACCCTGAGACCTAGGAGTATGCGCAATGTGGAAGATTCCAGGGGGAGGAGAGGGGAACCTCACCCCCATCCAGAAGATTATCCACGACGTGGAGTTAGAAATACGCACAGGGGTTGTCAGATGCTGAGACAAGGAGAGGGGAGAAAGAGGAGAATTCTGGTCCTGAACTGCGGGAGGGGGGGGGCAGAGAAGAATTTGCGTTGGGTTGGAACTTTGGTCGTGTTATGTGTGTGTATGTGTGTCATGCTGTGTACGATACGACTGTGACGACGGAAGAAAGGAAGGCATCCCCACGAGTTAAGGAAAAATAGAAAAAGAAATAGGAAGCATCAACCTTGGTGACGACTGCCACAAGGCGATCACCACAGGACCAGATGCCGTGACGCCCGTATTTTCTGGGGTATTGGTGGTGGTGGTAGTGGTGGTGGTGGTGTTGGTGGTGGTGGTGGTGGTGGTGATAGTAGTAGTAGTAATAGTGGTGGTGTGGCGGTGGTGATGATGGTTTGGGTCGTGTGGTGTCGTGGTTACATTTCTCCTCGCCGCCGAAAACTTACCAACGAGAAGACATACGCACAGCAAGTTTAATTTTCCACTCTTCCCCTAAGGTAGACATCATGAAAGTAGTTGCCCAGAAACTTGGATGCGCCAAGGCATTTAAGATGACCACAAGAAATGTGACGATCCTCTGTGATCGACAATAAAGTTGTGATCGTGTCCAGCGTAGCCAGCACAGTTCCAAATTGAGTGTGAGATGAGGTTAGCAAACTATAAACAACGGTCTCTGAAATACGCGATAAAATTTATGTGCGAAATGTGAAGTGAAGTAACATTACCACATCTGTTAGAGTTTCAACAAGCCAAACTGCTTAACTGCATAATTTGCGTAAATCAATATCCTGGTCCCTGATGAACATTTTCCTGTGTTATAGATACGATCCTTTAAAGTTTACTTTACTCGAAAGCTCAAGACAAATGTGATTAAAAAGAAAGTGACGTCTAGACGCACGAAGTGACAGCAAGTGAAGGAAAACGGACACAAAATCCATTTAAAAAAACTGTTAACATTTGCTACATAAATGATTGAGTTTTACAACAACAATAATAACAACAACAACAACAACAATAATAACTACAATAAAATGGTGCAAGATACGGACTTTCTGCAGTCTACGCACCCGTGTAACGGACGATCAGGTATGTTCTAATACACTTCTGGGACTCACACAGCGAAAGGTCGTTGGGGCAGGTGGATGGGAGGGGGATTAGCCAAGAATCTGCTTCACTCCTGGATTTTTTAAAACAGAAAATCAAAATTTAAAAAGAAAATACAAAAAAAAATTAATACCAAAATTTTGACTGTTCTGGAATCCAAAATACTCTCTGGTGATCAGCAAATAGAGTCGCAAACGACTTCAGCTTAACTTTGTACGAAAGTTTTCTAACTCCTCCTTACCTTTTTTAAGATGAGGCCGGAGCACCCATGTGTAATTTGCGTCACATAATAAATGCATATCTCTGAGTTCCCTGGACTTGTTTTTCTCATACACGTCTGGAAGAAACAGGTCCCTATTTTAGTGGATGAGTAAATAAACTCTAGAACACATTTTAAGAGGGGTCTTTTCAGATACTTTCAAAGTTGAACCGAAGACATACCAATAAATTATGCAAGTATGTACATGTATTTTGTACGTTGGATTGTGTATACATTATTTTGAGCCCCTTGTATTCACAGATATATTTTACAGAATGTTTGCATATTTTTTATTATTTTATATACTTATTTTGCGCGGTCGGCATATTTAGCTACGTCTCAAAATTTCTCCAATGAAAACACAAGACTTCCTGCATTGTCGATAAGATCTGCACCACATGCTCACCACAAACCTACCCGCTCATATGTTTGCAGTTTTCGATCCACACTGTTACAGAGACGTAAGAAGATGGTGAAAAGGTTCCACTGTAATAGGCTACACTGGTTACTTACAATTCTACAACTATTTTTCACTTTAAGGGATGTCGTTATAAGTTTCGAAGCATGTTTGAGATAGTGATACTTTGTATAAGTAATTATCATATATATTGAAGGTAGGGATACAAATTTAGGCCCATAAATTCTTTCGTTTTATATCTAAACAATAAAATTTGCCCATTATATATCAAAGTTTTTAATATCTTGCCATATATAGGCATATTTTGATCAATTGAATATGCAGAATATAGTGCGAATGCTACAAGCCAGACGGTGGCGGGTTCGAATCCCGATGAGGTGGATTTATTTTTCAATTTACCTAATCTTTCCAGCCGCACTATGGCCATCAGGTCGACTCAGCCTCTAACAGAAATGAGTACCAGGAACCTTCCTGGGGGATAAAGGGCGGCCGGCGCGTAAGGCTGACAACCTTACCGCCATCTGTGAGCCGATTGTTTAGAAAATGTGGGAGCCTCGACGTCTCACAACTCTATGGGGCTTCACGGCCTGTTAGAGGAATAGCTTTATCTTTTTACGGTTTACGCAGTGTGAATGGTTCTATAGTTCTATTTTGGGGAAAGTAACGCAGTGTAGCCCGTTGAAATTTCAAGTTGAAAGCAGCGTCTGCTACATATTTCATTCCGGTTTCTTGCCCGACCTATTCTTCGACCTGTTGATGGAGGTAACATATTCCTCCGAAAACTTCGGTTGTCTTTCAACGGACTTCAGAAACGTCAGTTGTCTTGTACTGAGCTAAGCAGTGTTTCACCCCATGAGATAGAACTCACCAGCTACCGCTGTGTGAAACGCGATCCAAAGTGAGCAGTACAACCTTTATTATTTTTCACTACGGCATAATTGACTGTTTATTATAGTCATTACTTACTTATATATGCCTGTACACCTAGCTTCGCCAGTGTGATCTCACCCAAAACGCAAACTGGAATAAAAAAAGTAAAGCTATCCCTGTACCAGGCTGTGAAGGCCCATAGGGTTGTGAGACGTTGAGGGTCCCACACTATCTAGACAATCGGCTCAAAGATGGCGGTAAAGTTGTCAGCCTTACGCACCGGCCGCGCTTTACTCCCCAGGAAAATTATTTAATTAATTCCTGGTACTCATTTCTGTTAGAGGTTGAGTAAACCCCAGGGCCTAGTGCGGCTGGAAGGATTAGGTCAACTGAAAAAAAATCAAATGACCTCATCGGGACTTGAACCCGCGACCTTCCGCCTTGTAGTATAGCCCCTCAAACGCAAACTGGAATTTCATTGGAAAAGCTAAAGGAGCCCCAGCAAGGAAAATATTGAAATGGATATTAATTAAATAGGCTCTCAGGCTGCAGACTTGAGTCACCCGGCATGGAACAGGGTCTAACAGCGGGCTGTTATGAATACGGTGCTGAACAACTGAATTCAATAAAAGGCGGAGAATATCTTCTTTAAACTGAACGCGTATTCCCTTCTCAACAAGGACTGCGTACTATGGATTCGCGCTTTGCGGAGTTTATATGAAAGAACTGACAAAAGTTTTGTAGCGATAAGCCGGGTTGGATTCGAGAGATACCTATAGTTACTGAAATATCTCAGCATTCACCGGGAGACGAGAAATGAAAATTTATGTACTCAATAGGCTTACACCGTGAGCGAAA